TAGGATCATTTTGAATGAAGAGATTTTGTTTTATGTGCCAATATTATTTAGTAATATTCCAGCCTAATTGTTTGTTACTGTATCAATTCTATGCAGGAAAAGGCAATGTGGAGAACTTCCTGCTATTCCTCATATGGAAGTGGAATCTCAACGTAATAATTATATGCACGGTGAAAGTGTCACAATTAATTGTAAGGAAGGATACGTCGCTCAGTTTGTTCGCTTAACGTGTCATGAGCGGAAAATGGAATGACAGTGAAACATCACTCGAAAAAATCTGTCAACGTGAGTTCATGCATTCTTATTTTATCAGATGTAGGCATTTATAAAAGGTTATGAGGTATAACCTAGTACTGAATATGTTTTTCATCTCTTCCAGCTATTCTCAGTCACTGTGCTTCCCCCGCCTAAAGTTGCACATGCTGTTGTTGTGACTTCACGTCAGAAGGAATACATGTCTGGCTCTGAGGCAACTTATCAATGCCGTGATCGATTATACAATCAAGGGAGTCGCCACAGTTACATGCATCAATGGGACATGGGGGAGAGGAACTTTACGTGCACATGTACGTTACATCTCAAAAGCATTTGAAATTGCTTCAGATGTGTCAGGAGAAAATTGTGTAGGTGTAGATGTAGGCATTGATAGAGAGATTACAAGGTATAACCTAATACTCAAGTGTTTTTATCTCTTTCAGCTAATGGCAATCCCTGCCCTAACCCACCTGAAGTTGCACATGCTGTTGTTGAAACTTCAGATCAGACGGAATACAGTCTGGCTCTAAAGTAACTTATCAATGCCGTGATCATTATACAATGGAGGGAGTCGCAGAATTACTTGCATCAATGGGCAATGGAGGAGGAGAAGTTTACATGTAGTCTTGCACGTACGTACATCCAAAAGCATTTGAAATTGCTTCAGATGTTATATGAGAGAGTTCAATTAGTTCAATTTCATTCAAACTTGATTTTTTTTTTAAAAAGTGGCAGCCATGATGCAGGATAACTTTGAATGGAGAATGTTTGTGTATATAATGCTAATATTATTTGTAACACGATATATACAAAATTGTTATTGTATCAACTCCAGAAAAAATGCAAGTGTGGAAAACTTTCCTAATAGGGAAGCGACATCTCAGCATAACAAATATGGGCTCAGTGAAGGCCTCCGGATTATTTTGTAAGGAAGGACACATCGCTCAGATAATCGCTTGATGCATGTCAGGGAAATGGTGTAGGTGTAGATGTAGGCATTGATAGAGAGATTAAGGTTAAACCTAATACTCAAGTGTTTTTATCTCTTTCAGCTATATGGCAATCCCTGCCCTAACCCACCTGAAGTTGCACATGCTTGTTGTTGAAACTTCAGATCAGACGGAATACACGTCTGGCTCTAAAGTAACTTATCAATGCCGTGATCATTATACAATGGAGGGAGTCAGCAGAATTACTTGCATCAATGGGCAATGGGAGGAGAGAAGTTTACATGTAGTCTTGCACGTACGTACATCCAAAAGCATTTGAAATTGCTTCAGATGTTATATGAGAGAGTTCAATTAGTTCAATTTCATTCAAACTTGATTTTTTTTGAAAAAAGTGGCAGCCATGATGCAGGATAACTTTGAATGGAGAATGTTTGTGTATATAATGCTAATATTATTTGTTAACACGATATATACAAATTGTTATTGTATCAACTCCAGAAAATGCAAGTGTGGAAAACTTCCTGTAATTCCTAATAGGGAAGCGGACATCTCAGCGTAACAAATAGGGCTCAGTGAAGGCCTCCAGATTATTTGTAAGGAAGGACACATCGCTCAGATAATCGCTTGTCAGGAGAAAATGGTGTAGGTGTAGATGTAGGCATTGATAGAGAGATTATGAGGTATAACCTAATTACTCAAGTGTTTTTATCTCTTTCAGCTAATGGCAATCCCTGCCCTAACCCACCTGAAGTTGCACATGCTGTTGTTGACACTTCAGATCAGACGGAATACACGTCTGGCTCTAAAGTAACTTATCAATGCCGTGATCAATATACAATGGAGGGAGTCGGCAGAATTACTTGCATCAATGGGCAATGGGAGGAGGAGAAGTTTACATGTAGTCCTACACGTACGTACATCCAAAAGCATTTAAAATTGCTTCAGATGTTATATGAGAGAGTTCAATTAGTTCAATTTCATTCAAACTTGATTATTTTGAAAAAAGTGGCAGCCATGATGCAGGATAACTTTGAATGGAGAATGTTTGTGTATATAATGCTAATATTATTTGTTAACACAATATATACAAATTGTTATTGTATCAACTCCAGAAAAAGGCAAGTGTGGAAAACTTCCTGTAAGTCCTAATAGGGAAATGACATCTCAGCGTAACAAATATGGGCTCAATGAAGGCCTCCAGATTATTTGTAAGGAAGGACACACTGCTCAGATAATCGCTTGATGCATGTCAGGGGAAAATGGTGTAGGTGTAGATGTAGGCATTGATAGAGAGATTATGAGGTATAACCTAATAATCAAGTGTTTTCATCTCTTTCAGCTAATGGCAATCCCTGCCCTAACCCACCTGAAGTTGCACATGCTGTTGTTGACACTTCAGATCAGACGGAATACACGTCTGGCTCTAAAGTAACTTATCAATGCCGTGATCATTATACAATGGAGGGAGTCGGCAGAATTACTTGCATCAATGGGCAATGGGAGGAGGAGAAGTTTACATGTAGTCCTACACGTACGTACATCCAAAAGCATTTTACAAAGTAATTCGCAGAAAGCTTTAAGAGGACATTAAGATTGTTCAGTGAAATAATGCCTTATGGATTTTTAAAACTCTGTAATCCAATGTATTATTATTATTATTATTTTTATTTTTAGGCTACTTTGAAACACATGAATATGCTGAATAGGCAGAATACGTATTTCATTTTAGCGTCTAGATTACAGATTAAGAGTCAGAAAAAATATGTACTGAAAAGGAATAGATTGAGACACTACACTGCTAATTAGGATCGCTTCGAGTCTATCCTAATACCATACACACAAACAATTTGGCGCTTGACAGAGTTATTGGTCCCTGTAATCATTTGTCCTCACCATACTGGCCATAAAGAGATCCCTCTGTGGTGGGTAACTACACTGTAAAAAATAATAGGGAACAAAATCCACATTTTCCACTGTGTAAAAATGCATTTTAAAAATGAGCCAAAAACAATTCAGCTTCAGCTTTGGGACATTTTCAAAACAGCTAGTACAAAGTTAAATCACCTCAAATATTATATGAGCCACACCGTGAGTGTTGGCATATAATAAGAAATTGCTAATTAAAACTGCTACTATTCAGATGCACTGTGGGTAGGAAAGTGTGGATTGAATAACTGTAAAAGTTTCTAAACTGCATCAAAATTACCCAGGAAAAGGGAAATGATGGGCATTTTGTTTAATCAAAAATATCCTATGTAATAGTCCTATATAAAACATAATGTAATACTGTACATGTATATATTGATATAAAACTTGTATCAGATTGAAAGAGGAAATAGGACAGTTTAGGTTAAGAAAACTAAATAAAAGTGCTTACCTCACTCTGACACTTGAAGTACAGCATATGGGTAAATATAACACCATGGGTAACAAAAAAAAGAAAACATGTATCATACAAGACAAAGGCACATATCCTTTATATTTGCTATATACTGTATATTTGCTCAGTTTAATAACAAAGTTACATAGAACTGGATGTATGAAATACACCCATTATATGTGATACTGAAGACAGAAATCTTCTCCCACTGATCCCACTCTGGAACAGTGATGCAGATTTTCCTCAAGGTCCACAGAAGTCTCAGTGGAAAAAAAAAAAAAAATTCTATGATCTTTTTGCTTTGGTTGTTTGGTCAGAACACAGAGAAAGAAAACTGCATCAAAATTACCCAGGAAAAGGGAAATGATGGGCATTTTGTTTAATCAAAAATATCCTATGTAATAGTCCTATATAAAACATAATGTAATACTGTACATGTATATATTGATATAAAACTTGTATCAGATTGAAAGAGGAAATAGGACAGTTTAGGTTAAGAAAACTAAATAAAAGTGCTTACCTCACTCTGACACTTGAAGTACAGCATATGGGTAAATATAACACCATGGGTAACAAAAAAAAGAAAACATGTATCATACAAGACAAAGGCACATATCCTTTATATTTCCTATATATATTTGCTTAGTTTAATAACAAAGTTACGTAGAACTGGATGTATGAAATACACCCATTATATGTGATACTGAAGACAGAAATCTTCTCCCACTGATCCCACTCTGGAACAGTGATGCAGATTTTCCTCAAGGTCCACAGAAGTCTCAGTGGAAAAAAAAAAAATTCTATGATCTTTTTGCTTTGGTTGTTTGGTCAGAACACAGAGAAAGAAAACTGCATTTACCTTATGCATTATTCATACATATATGTTCTTGATACGTATAACTAGGTAACATTGAATGACTGAGTTTAACAGTCATTTGTGTGAGAAGTGAACTTATATTATAAAGCTTTGGCATATTAAATAAAAGAGGAGAACATTACAAAAGCTTTATTTGGTGGTTTTATTCAGTAATTTTATTCAGAACCTCAGGCCTATTTATATGGGTTTTAAAAGTTATTGAGCTGTGTGTTGGCACTGAACTGTATAAAAAGCTTTGAAAAGGTGAAGTATAACAAAAATCAAAAGTGGCTTCAGCCTTTAAAACTATGTTTCATCTATCAAAATACTCTGTGTCAGTGGTCTCTCTCAGTAACATGGCCTGCAAAATCTCACAAATTTTTATAACCCAGCACTGTTTTACAGGGAAGGGAAAGTGCATTAACAGAAAAAAAAGAAAATAGCCTTTGACATAAAATGAACCAAATTGTGCACCAAATTGCCAAACTGGAGCAACAAAACTTCAAGGTGAAAGCATTAAATTGTATTAAGAATAATGATAATGATAATAATAATGATAATAATTTTAAAAATTAATCATTTCAATTCCTGCAGCAAATATTTAACAAACACTCAACAAAAATTCTATTACACAATATAAAAATTACTATACATGCATTTCTGTATTATACAGTATGCATGGTATGTGTAAGACTCAGATTTTCATCCGCCCTCTGTAAGTTGTCAGCTCTGTGACATTGCAGGGACTCTTACTTTACTACAGTTTTTGGTTTAAAGTACAATTAAGCTTTAGGTTTGTGAGGCTGCAGTTAGAATGGAGGTTGAGGATGAGTCCCAGGAAGTCCCAGAGTAGTTTGACTGAATATTGACACAATTGTAATTGTATACTATTAATTGTCCATTCGTAAGAGATGATAATTACAGTGTGCATGCTAACATTCAGAAATATCTGAAATAATTCTGTCACTTTCCCCAAATTAACTGCAAAAGTGACTGTGATTATTCAGATTATGTTACTTAGAGCTGGGGAAAAAAAGCTGCATTTTGTTGCTGACAACAAAGTCTAGTAACTAAACATAAAACTGCCTCTTCAGTGCCACCAACCAATAAAATGGCTGCTGCACATAATAGTGTTATCATCAAATGAAGAAAGAGGGAACAAAGTCAAGTCACTGTCACTTGTGCTTTCAACAAAAACCTGATAAAAACCTCTTTTTTGGAAACTGTTTGGTTAATGAATAATCTTTTGTCTTGTTTTCCAGTACAACAATGTGAACGTCCTGATGAAATTCCCAATGGCTATTTTGAAATTGTCCGTGGTACACATGATTTTCTCTTTGGAACAGTTATCAAATACTATTGTAATGAAGGGTATGTGGATCGAGACTGATTTATACATTCATAGACAGTATGATTATTTTATAGTGGTGTGTGAGTGGGAATACTAAACAAGATATCAATTGACATGGCAGTTTTTTTTTCCTCATTGACGGTTTTGTGTTCTGGCATTTCATTGCAGGTACCACATGATCAGTAAGGTTGACACCCGCAATTGTTTGCTTGGCTCATGGTCCCATGATCTGCCGATATGTGCTCGTAAGTCATAGTAACAGCAGAACAACAATTTTGTTCAAAGGTCTGTCAATTACTGTCAACTTTAACCCTCCTATTGTCTTTGGAGTCAATTTGACCCCATTCAATGTTCAACGTCTCTAAATAAATGGTTGACATCATTTTTTTTGCTTCATATTTAATGACTTGTCCTAATTTAATGGGGACAACTGAGTAAACATAAAATTAACATGATTATATTTTTTCAATGTCCTGTACACATTTCTACAGATCGGTGTTCTTTGGGGTCAATTTGACTCCAGACTGTTTCAGCTATATTACACATATAAGAAGTATCCATATTTTACACACACATCACTATAACATGCAACTTTATGATCTTCAAAAAACTTCCTTCTGCTTTAGGACCCATATCTACCTAACCATACCTGTAGTAGTACAAGAAAAAATAATACCCACAAGAACTTTGATATTTGGGGGACACGTGGGGGCAGGGAAATATAGTTCCCGCTCTTCAGCTCAGTTAATAAGAGTTGTGAAGTGGGAGGAGCTGTTTTAGGCACCCCTGGTTCCTGGAAGTAAAAGAAAATCTCCTGGTTGAAAAAATGATATACAAAAGATTAACAACTGCTTTAAAAGAAGGAAAGGTACAAGTTTGTGAACATAATAAAAGTTAACTTCGACTCCTAAGGTGCATTTCTACAAGAAACATCCAATTGTCACTTTGTGTGTTTCTAATGGCACGTGGAAGCTACAGATTACTGCGTTGAGAAATCCGATAATATAATCTGTATCTTAAATCAATTTGCTTTTAAAATCTTTAATTTTGGATTAATTCAGCAACTTTGGTGCCATATTTTGTCCCCAACTCCAGCAGTTTGTAATTTGCCTCTCATGATTACAAATTCACATGAAAACAGACTTGTGCAACAAGGGACCATTCCCGCTTTGCGACACTGTGGGGAGGTTGTTCTGTCTGTTAAAACCCCACATCGGCATTTTGTCTGACAAAAGACCTTTATTCACACATCAAATTATTGCTTTGCTCAGCCTTTTCTCCCCTCTAGTGATCTGAGTGACTGTGTTTACTCAGCTTCGAGGTGTGACCCCACCCGCAGATGGAAGATATTACAATGAAAGTTTTACTAAAAGACGTTGGGTCCATATATGCTGTTTACGTCCTCACATTCAGCTGTGACCGCCCTGGGAATATTTGAAAGGCAGTCCATAGCTGACATGTAGGAGAGAGTGGACATTGGGATAACCCATTCCCCTCTCTGTGAAGGTAACCCTTTAAGTAAAAAAAAACAATGCTGTACACAATAATTATGTGATTTTTAAAAAATATTTGAGCATATTGTAATACTATATCATCTCTATTGTTGTACTCTGGAAAACAGGGACAAATGATCACACAGTGATTTGGTGTTTCCTTGACCAGAGCTTTACTAGAAGTCAGTCAGATAAAATACATGACAACAACTCTGCTGAACCCGAACACATCTGCACATACTGTATTGCATGTTTACATCCCAAATTAATTAACTAAACAAGATATAACTGTACACAATTCATTCTCCTACGTGTGCTTACAAACGTAAACAATGAAGACGCTTGGCGTATCCTATTTATACAAGATGGCGGCAGCCTCGCTCGCCCACCTCCACCTTCAACTACTCCGAAAAACATAGTTCCATCCTACTCAAACATCACACAACTCCCCTCCTGACAGTCAAAATGTCCCACACAACTATCGGAACAATGTCACTGCTCACCCCTTCAGCCACATACCTGGAAAACAGGGACAAATGATCACACAGTGATTTGGTGTTTCCTTGACCAGAGCATTACTAGAAGTGAGGAAAACACCGCGAACCATCTCCCCTGTATGTGGGCTTAGACCCAACTAATCCATCTCTGATCCTTCTAGATCTCAACCTACTTCTTGGAAGACAGAGATTATAACTTTTCAAGTTGTGTGTTCTCCAGCTAGTCTCTAATCGTGTCTGTCTGCTGTTTGGTGCTGGGCAGTTGGGTTTTTATTGCTTTCTTGCTTGACACAGCTGCAGCCAAAACAACACCATGAGAAATGTGACACTGAACCAAAATAATTCTCTGTGGGTTCATCACCTTTTCACATACACGTAGTCATGTGATCCAATGTTGATATCAAATATTGATAATAGCCTAATTAATGAAAAGAAAGTACCTCTGTATGCAAATATATCTTCCATGTAATCTTACAAAGATTTTGGACATAGATTTGACTTCATGAAACCCAAAAACTCCCAAAAACTTCCAAGTGTCTATACTATATAAAGCTATTGTTAAAGCAGATTCTCTTCTTCTAAACAGAAAGCTGCAAAGTCACAGGCTTACCACCCAACATACGCCTCAGCATGCATGGAGTAGGTGATCAACTAACAGAAGGACAAAAGTTAAGATTTTATTGCCCCCTGCGTGGTCAGACTCTTCGTGGGACAGCAGAAGTTGAATGTTTAGCAAATGGACAGTGGAGTCATCCTTTTCCAACATGTGGAGGTAAGTCAATTTTTTTGTGTCCTCTTTTGTGTCCTGTTTTACTGATTCATGCTGAAACTGTTATCTCAAGATGTGGTGGTTTGTTAAGTTATTTGTGAGAAGATGCAAATTTGATGCATGTTATCTTTGTGCTTAGAGTTTTTTTCTATATTACAATCTTTTATATGTGTGTTTGAGGTTTCATAAAAACAACTGTGACTTAGATCACATTTTCACCTGCCATTAACATACAACTTGTGTTTGCATATTTCATGTGGATAAGAATAAATGTATGACAATTCACGCAGATCACTGTGAAACTGGAATGTTGTCACACCACATCTGGATATTGCAATACAATATCTGCTCTTTACAATTAAAGCACTAAGAAACTTTATTGATATATGTTTAGGAAATGGAAGCATTAAGATGAACATGATCCAGGGAGTGATTATGTTTCTCGCAACAATATAATAATTGTTGGGGGAAAAATGAGTACTGTATAGATGAATTTTTAGGTGATGGGGTCGAGCTCTGCTCCCCTTACTTTATTGATCGGATCGACAGCGATTGATAATGGATAAACTTGTACTCTCTGTCTATGCCCACATTCTTTTAGCTCATTTTGATTGTGGGAGACCACCACCTCTTGACAATGGAGACCTCAAGGAATCTCAACGGAACCAGTACAGAAACAATGAACGGGTTGAATACGTCTGCCAGAATTACCACATTATGGATGGTTACCCCTTCCGAACATGCAACAATGGTGAATGGACTGGACAGATGAGATGCCTCAGTAAGTTTTAATCCACTTTGCATTCTGTGAGGGTTTTCCATAGATAACACTCATTTTGGATTCCGGTGTTTGCAAGATTAATGTTAACATGTTACTTACACAGTGCCATTACACATTGCAGTCACTAGACATTTCATCATAAAAGTAGAGGGGCACTAAAGAATAAGAAAGAGGCAACAGCTCTGCAAAGCCAAACGCATTAAATAAACTTCACTGACTTTTCAGCAGCTGTGTTACCTTACAAAGAGAAAGAAATGGATCATTTCCGTGAGACAGCATGTAAAATCAACACAGAAAGACAGGCAACTAGTCTATCAAGTGAACGGCCACGGCTAGCCTTAGCTAAGTATAAATCTACTCAGTGATTTTTCCCCATCTGCAATATTTAATTAAAAAATGTCAACTTTGATGAACCAATATCTCGCAGAGGCAGTGGCCAAATCCAATCATGATGCAGAAAACAACCGGTAGCCTACACTGCTGCTTAAGGTAGTTTAAGGTAAAGCTCGGGGAAATAGAATAACAGTAAGCTGACCACTATCTCAGTGTTTGACCTAAGTAGAAGTGTACATGATTTGGTGTGAGTGACTATCTTTAAATCATGTTTAAGTTACATGTAAACTGTGCATTAACTTTTTTTATTGACTTCAGTATTAATTTTTTTTTTAAACGGAGACTAGCAATAATTATATATGTAGTGTGCTGTGCAGTCATTCCTGACATCAAGGAAATGCTTTGTATCTGTTATCTTTTGCAGAACCCTGCACTGTGGATAGCGAAGCCATGAACAACCGTAATATTAGATTCAGATTTAGTTATGACAATAAGAAGTATTCAACCCATGGTGATGAAATGGAGTTCATGTGTGCCAGAGGAAGACCTGTCCGCACAGTGGCAATGCGTCAGTTGTGTCGTGATGGTGTGATTGACCTGCCATCTTGCCAGTAAAGCTTTTTAGTCAACCTGATGTGATAAACATGAGCTGTTTGGACAAACATGTACATGATTAACCAGACTAGAGTCATGTGCTGATCCTGTGTCTATGCTTTAGTGCTGTGTGTGGTCTTTTCAATAAAACATTTATGTTCACTCACTGTTTTATTCTTTTATACTTGATATTGTTCTGTATGAAAGCTAAGCCTAATGTTGAGTAAACAGCTTTCAGCTTGCTACCCTTTATAATTCATGTTCCTGGGTGGAAATCAGTTTAAGAAAGTTAAATTTGGTGGATTTACCTGCTTATGGATGCAGGCATCATTTATATTAAACCAATAGGTTTCTTAAATATGCAAATCATCTATTGTGATTGTCAGTGAGTCATCCTTGCTGTATTATAAACCTATAAGTGTGCCACTGGTTATTATGCTTAACTGCCACTGCAAAAATCTGCAAAATATTCAACATTTTTGTGTATTTGTTTTTAACATTTCCATGGTTACGTTAAAGAAGCTCAAAGCACTTGGATATAATTAGGGAAATACTGTGGTCCTGGTTGAAGCATAAGGCTGGTCAAAAATGTCAATCCATCTCTCTATAGTTTCTGAATTTCCTACCATGTTTCCTAATATGAATCCTGATAATAATTTGAAATATGTAAGGTCTAGAAATTTTGGGTCACTCCAAACTATTTTCCTGCCCTGAAATGCTCGACGATATTGCATCTTTCTGTGTGTAATCATTGGTGGTGGCTGGCATTATTTAATTC